ATCATACCACCCTGTTTTTGTGCTGTCGATTCTGGTTCATGGTGACCCCATGTGTGTCAGAGTAGAACTTTTCACTATAGGGTTTTCAGTGGCTGATTTTTCAGAAGTAGATCACCAGGGCTTTCTTCTAAGGCATCTCTGGGTGGACTCAAACACCCAACCTTTTGGTTAGCAGCCAAGGAAGTTAACTATTTGTGCTACCCAGGGTAGATACTTTTTTTACAAATTATATATAATATTCGTTAAAAACCAGTTGCCCTTGAGTCAATTCTGATTTAAGGGGACTCCATGTGTTGCAAGTAGAACTGTGCTCTTTAGGGTTTTCAAGGTTGTGATCTTTTGGAAGCAGATCTTTAGACTTTTCTTCCAAGGTGCCTCTGGTCGGTTCAAACCACCAACCTTTCAGTCAGTAGTTGAGTGTCTAACCATTTGCAGCACCCATGGACTCCATAACATTTACTATTAATTGTTTATTTGATTGATTGGTTGGTTTTTCTATACCATCCCACTGGAATGTAAGCTGGACAAGAGCAGTTCTCTTGCCTTTTGTTCATCCATCTCCACACCTAGAATAACGTCTGCTCCGTAGTGGGTGGTCAACAATATTTATTAAATGAGCAAATCCCTCTCTCTCTATGTCCACACAAAAGTTTCACTGTTTTCACAAACATTTTGCTCTATACCTGTGATCATTACAGTCCTTATCCAGGCCGAGATGAGCTCTTCTAGGACAGGTTTTGTCTCTTCCTTCAATTGATTCTCCAAGATCAGCAATCCCAGAAATATCAAGTCTGTCTCCACCTTCTCCCTTGAAATATATATATGATTGAACAGAAATAGCTTTTACTTTTTGTTTTTCACTTTCTTATTGGAAGTAAAACAAAAACAAAAGCAAAAACCTTCCTGTCAGAGTGATCTCTACTCACTCATTGAAGCGCCATTCTTTAGGCACTGAATATGTGCCAGGAACCATGCAGAAAGAAGACAGAAGGGGTCACAAATGATATTGAGACATTTACCCTGACTGAATCAAGAGAAAGTGAGTACCTAATAAGCAAAAGATAGGCTTTAGCCTTCCTAGAAAACTAACTAAATGACCAAAAATGCCTCTTTCACCTACTGTGGCTATCCTGATTGTTATTACCTCATCTATTAGCAACCACCAAAGAAAAGTTCTACTTCTGGTACAAAACATAAAAAAAAAAAAAATAAGTGAGGCTCCAGAAAAAGAAAAGGAAATGAAATGCCTGTTTCTCCAGAAACCAAGGCTATAATCAATGTTATTTTAATCCCAGGAGGCATGAGGCAAAAATCTCAACAAACTATATTCCCCTATTAACACTACCACTACCATCACCACCCCCTCCTCCCTGTCCCGAGGCTGATAGCATTGCTCTTCTGCAGAAAGTGTGAACGTTTCTGCAAGTAAGCAAGGCCAGGCCTCTGAATACTTCCAAGACATTCCACAAGATCAAGTACAGGGAAGAACATTTAGGGGCTCAAAAATGCTTCACGAATTACTTATCCGGGACCCAGAGACCTCTAGCAGACATAAGAACCAGACACCAGCACTGCTTAATTTGGGCTGAAAAACAAGAAAGCAGCACCCTTTCCTTGAGTGCCATGCATGTGTCATTTCTGGCCCTCACATCTGCCGGGGGCATGGAATAGCATCAGTGATCCTCCTAGGGAACTGCCAACACCTCCACAGCAACAGGAAGTGGACCCC